TGTTTGTTGTGGTCTTGTCGTCATGACAACGATTGTCTTCAACGTCGCTTCATTGGTATGCTATTAGCCATTAGCTATTGACAAATAACAAATACACATAGATCAATAGACAAAATATTATGAAATGTACTGAATTTAAAATTTACTTTGTTGTATGATTGTAGCCTGTGTTCATAACGCAACTATCTGCTGTTGAAGTTAATGTTCAAAACACAACTATCCAAACTTTCTACGTTGCGTATTTTAAAATAATATTAAACTGAGAAGAGAGGGAGCTGTATCGTGTAATAGAAAATAGTTATTTAAATATTGATTTAATCACAAAATATGTTACAAAAAGCAGCTCTCGAAATCGGTGTTAAGTACAATATTCGTTTATTCCCAATATTTAAAATAAAAACTGACCTAGAATTATTAGGGTATCGATAATAAACTGAGCAATATAATGTTTTTCTGCATGTTGTATTTTTATCACGATCATGCGTTACGTGTTGTCTTTAACGACCATAATTTAAAGGACAGTATATAGTACGGTTTTCTCCTCTTTTAGTCAACGAATATTCTTATTTATTATGGAACAATTGACGAAGTTTAGTGTTATTAGTCTTTTTTTCTGAAAAAACTAGTGTATGGGAAGAATATTTTTTTCCAAGAAAGTAGACTTTTCAGTACTCTTTTCTCTGTCGATTTTATTAGTTTTTATTACGCTTTTATTAGTTTGATATGTCGTATTCTTTCTATCTGCGTAACGGAATTTTCCAACGTAATTTTCACTAGTATGAAGACGTCCAATTAACTTGAAAATTTGCATACTTATCAACTCTCATTCACAATAAAATCATTTTATTAGCCTAATTTGCTGGATCAGAAGGTTTTAAAAAATGCTACTAAACCGCATTTTCTAACTAATTCTTTAATTATATTTATTTTGCGTTTTACGGGTGCCAGAAAATAATCAATAAAATAGTTGGAAATATCTTTACTGGTGGGAGGACGTCTTGTGAGTCCGCACGGGTAGGTACCACCGCCCTGCCTGCTTCTGCCGTGAAGCAGTAATGCGTTTCGGTTTGAAGGGCGGCGTAGCCTTTTTACTATTAAAAGTGAGACCTTTCAACTCATGTCTCATGGTGGGTGGCGGCATTTACGTTGCAGACGTCTTAGGGCTCCGGTAACCACTTAACACCAGGTGGGCGGTGAGCTAGTCCAGCAACCTAAGCAATTAGTTTCTTTTGTAAATATCAATAAAAACAAAACAAAGTAAATTGTGTAAAATTTAACAATATGTAGATTGATTAATTTTGTTAGATTATTGCTATTAAATAGTCATAAATCTATTGGATTGTTCATTAGCTTGATCTAGTTGAGTTTTGTTTTCATATTACATGTAAATGTATTACGTTAAATGATTAGGAACATTATAGAGTCAAGAGAAAAAGGCATTTAAATCGCTGTGAGTGACATAAATTAAAAACATTTTATAGTAAAGCGGAGTAATATCAAAACCCATTTCAGCAAATTTCTTTATTATTATTGATGTTACGAAAATATTCAGCCTTGTTTAAGGGCAGAAAATGTGAAATCTTGCATACGACTTTTACATTAAAACGTACCAACCAACACAACAAACATAGACACATTAAAATTATGTACATTTTCAGTTTGAGCAGCTATTACTTCGTTCTGTGTTTCGGGAGGTTTGAAGAAGTATATTTAATTAAGACCGGTTCTTTTTGTACTTCTCGGTACTAGTTTTTTAATGTACAGCTAAATTTAAAATCCAGAATATAATTATTTATTAATACGTGAAGCAAAAACTTTGTATAATAGCCGGCAAACTTCTTGAGCATTTGTTGACGTAGTGGGGGTAAGTTTGCGCATGGTACACTCACGTGCAAAAACATTATATACTCTGCGTCATAATGCAATTAAATTATTAAAATCAACATATGTATTTTTTTATATATTTATTAGAACATCAACAAAAAATGTAGGTTAATTGTAATAATTTAATCTTGGGGTAAAATAGATATTCCTTCTATTAAGTCAAAACTTGCCAGGTCTTGGTTCAGTTGAAGCGAAGCTGGTATTTGTATATTTTTTTTCGTTATCATAATCTTGACCATCATCATCATCACTGTTTTCATCACCCGAGTCGCTATCATCGTGATTAGTCGACATAGGGCTCATCGGTGTAGTTTACAACTCGGTCCATTCGGTCTTCTTTTTTGTCTATAATTAATTATTTTTTGAAGATATTCGATTCGTAGTAATCGAATGTTACTTTTTTCAATTACCAGCTTCCGATTATTTTCTGTTCTTTTTTTCCATCTAAAGCCTAGCTCTTTCATAATACGTCGTAAGCTTCATTCCGAGCCATTAAAATTTATATCTTCTTTAAAATTTTCGAAGCCTTTCTACGGTACGGAGTTTCGCTGCTTGTTATGTAGTTATTATGATTACATCTTTTTATTACAGATTGAACGAAACTATCCATTCCGGTAACTTTCTTCTTCCCTGATCTTTTCTTACCCGGAGTCCGAAACACGGCGAGCAAGCCAGAGCCTTTAGCTTCCTTAATAATGCACCTAACAGTCCTCACTGATGGTTTTGTTACTTCCGAAGTCTGTTTTAATTTTTCCATATCATTCTTCCCCTGTTTTATAATGAAGCAATATACGTCGTACACAATTTTTCTACCCTTTCTTTTGAATACTACACCGGTTTGTCGCGGCATAGTGTATGTTTTATAAAAAAAACAACAAACACTCAACAAATAGCAATGGCAACAAAGTCCACAAGTAATATAACAAATAACTTAACGATTAATAACGATAGACTTTAATAATATAATAACTTTCCTCTGTACGCAAGCGTACTTTTGGGTGCAAGCGGAATGAGGGCGCGGTGCGGGACGCAAGGTTCGACTGATCTACCAATAAAGCGCTCGATACGATTTCCCCTGCCGTCGCGCCTCACCCTCACCACCAAAGTGATCTAAAATTCGGTTCTGCGCAGTCAAGGTCATTTACTCAAGATGTTTGCCGGTTACTATATCCCTTTTTACGAAAATTGCGCGGACGGAGGAGTATGAAATTTTCCACACTTATAGAGAATATAGAGAAGAAGTGCACAATGCTAATATTTTTTTAAAATAATGCATAAAAGATACATTAAATCAATAAAGACACACAATACATACCATGTATTTGACGCACACATGCATGCATACTGTTTATTGTCAAACTTTTGTTCTGACGTCTGTGGTCAAATTGAGAATAGATTAAATATTTTTTGTCTTTATTAATATTTTTTATAGTGTAGCCTTGTCGAAATTTGTGATTAAAGAAGTATAAAATACAATCATAATAGTGTACAAACTTATTATACAGTTCCAATTAATTATAGTCGAATTTCGACTACTGCGGGACCTCTAGTCATTACTTAATTTGCCATTCTATCGCTGTCATATTGTCTCAATTTTAAACTTGTTTATTTTTAACCTACTGAGCTTCTCGCCGGATCTTCTCAGTGGGTCGTGATTACGTTCCGGTGGTAGATTCTGCGAAGTACTGCTCTTGCTAGGGCTAGTGTTGACAAATCCTCTCAAGATGATGAGCCCGCGAGCTCTCACCTATCCGTCCGCGTGGAATAGCCTCAGCGAATAGGTATGGAAGAAGGAAAAGTTAATTTTCGATGCGCGCTTATAATGCTTTGAAAATTGTGGTTCTATTTTTGTTTAAAAAAACTAGTTACATAATATACTAGCCGTACTCGCCCGCTTCGCTGGGCATTTAAAATTAACATTATTATTTATTGTCAGTATTATTAGGGAGTCCAACACTCTATATAAATACTAGCGTATCCATTAAGTAGGTATTTGAATTTTTTACATGGATACCAAGTTTCAAGTCAATCGGATGCACGGTTCAGTAGTTATAACGGAACATCCGTAAAAACCACTGTAGATTTATATATTAGTATAGATTATGAATCTTTATGACTTGTGACATAATATCAACGAGTTTCATCTACTTATTGTGTTCGGTTCGAGGGAGGTCGTAGGTGTACATTAGCGTACTAACGACAGGGTCGCATGCAAGTTCCTCTACGTAATAATCTAATGTGGACTATCAAACTAATTAAATATCAATAACTTATATTTCTTTTTAAGTTTTGTATCTGCGAGTAGACGATAGTTTGGAGTTTAATTAAGTAATTGATGCAAATGAAAATATTGGTGTACCAAAGAACTAGTGATATTGGTGGGTATATTTTTTATAAAATAATTCTTAGGTTCGTCCTACTTCGGCTTACCTTTTGTTAAGTGGTTACCGGAACCCACCTACCTTAAGATGTGAGAATTAAGTTATAGTTTTTATAATGCTGGGACTGATGGGACTGGGACAAGATGTTTATTGACTAGAGCATTTGCATGACTTTACTTATCTTTATTAGGTATCTTGTAGTATTTACGCAGAAAAATAATCAGTAGTAAAACGTTAGCTCTAACCTTCCTCAAAAAAGTATCCTTGAAGTGATAACTGAATTCAATAATCTCATAAAATTGTCTTGGCTAGAAAGCGGTAGTAATTTTTGTAACAAGACTTTTTCATATGTATTAATTCTTTCAAAAGCTTCTTCCTCGGAATTGAGGGCAGATTTGTAGTATATTTTCCCCGAATTAAGATATTATTATAAAATACTACCCCTGTCTGTCCTGATGTAGGAGGATCTTCGCATAATTTGAGTTAGGACAATGAGCTTCTTCGTCCGAAGGAGATCGTAGGGTTCCGAAATAGATCGGATAATTCGGGTAACATTGTGAAAGATGTAGGCTGGTTTAGAGAGGAGAGGGTGGGTGTCTTGCGGTTTCAGTCGTTAAGTTGCCGTTTCCGGGGCACAGTAAGAGGCAGGGTGATATCGACGGGGCGGCTCGTAGTGCGCATGTGCACCTACGGCGCCCCGGAGTCTCGGGAGTGTCTTACAAACGCTCGAGCGGAGCCCTGACGGTGTCAGTCGCCTCGTGCTCGTCCTAGGCGACGCACGAGGACCAGGGAAAGGGTCCCATGCGCGCTCACCCCAATTACAATGTACGATGATTTTTATACGCGAACTTTTTTTTCCATATCAATATTTTCACTTCTTAATAACTAACTAATAAGTTTTTGTATTGTTCTAGGTGTGATCCAGGGTAATCGTAGGAGCTCTGAACTTTATTGGGTAAGTAAATTTATAAAATTATATGATTATGGGTTTAATATCTAAAATTTTCTAATTTTTTTGTTCCAACACTTTTAAGTAGTTGTACAATTATTATTTAAACAGTACTTTGGATTTAAAATAATTTAGTGTTCGTTGTAATAATACTATGAAGTGTTTAATGTTGCCTAAAGGTACAGGGGTGGCAGCTGTTTGTGACAGACAGTGTACGCCGTTTTTTTTTAGTCCTTTTTATTATATTTTTTCCGTGACCTGACTTCTTTGTGCGGCGAACACCTGCCAGGCCGGCTCCGGGTTCCGATCCAATCCTGCTTTTTCTATTCATACACTAGAGACGGCAAATAAAAATATGTAATGTAGAACATGTAATAAATAATAATAAATAATACTTACCGCTTAACTTATACCGTTTAGACGAGTTTAATAATCAATCCTGTCGATCTGATAGATTTTTTTTTTAATTTTTTTTTTTGCTGGTTGTTCGGATGAGCTCACAGTCCACCTGGTGTTAAGTGGTTACTGGAGCCCATAGACATTTACGACGTAAATGCGTCACCCACCTTGAGATATAAGTTCTAAGGTCTCAAGTATAGTTACAACGGCTGCCCCACCCTTCAAACCGAAACGCATTACTGCTTTACGGAAGAAATAGACAGGGTGGTGGTACCCATCCGCGCGGACTCACAAGAGGTCCTACCACTAGTATAAGAAAATATTATCCCTTTGATTTTTCCGACAACAGTAGCCACAACATAAAGGTATTATTGAAGTTTTTCGCGTTGCTGCGGTTGAGATGACTCATGGCATCGAATCGACCGACACAGTGCCCTCTTACTCATTGTGCTGATTTCAAATTTTAGCTTAAAAATTTTGCATGACGTTTTTCGGGGTGTATAATTGCCTCCGCAGTTCGCGGATATTGGCAACGGAGCCATGCTCAAACCGATATTCTGGACGTGTAATTCCAGTGTTTACAAATTTCGAAACATTGCGCTGTGTACGCAGCCTATTAAAATACTATTTAGTTATTTTAGACATCATTGGTTAGCAATGGATTTTTATTACGAAACATATACATATCGACGCTTGAAAGGCAAACGTGACTAAGCGACAATGCGTGAACTTTACAGTAGACTAATTTAAAGTTGAAATACCTGAAAACGAAATTTATTTTAACGAATCTAGCTGTAGTAGAATCTAGCTAGTAGCTGTAGGATTGAAATGATTTTAATAGACCTGGAAATATATATTTTATATTTTTTGCGCATCGAATATGTTTATTGCCTATCATTTATATGTACAAATCAGTTATTGTCGCTTAGTCACGTTTGCCTTTCAAGCGTCGGTATATATTTTGATATGTATATATTTAAGTACGAGATTTTGTATCTATAAATGTTATATAATATATATACGTATGTTTAAGTAATATTACTATCACACTACACCTGCCAAGGTTCATCTCTTCACTCCCCTAAGGTAGACTGTCAGACAATGCCAATGGTATTAAGTCCTCCTTTATACTGTCAAGTATAGAAAGTTAAAAATAAATAAAACAAAATAAAACATATCGATGTTTCGAATACATATTATTATTATTATGTACGTTTACGATTATATCGGATTTTGATCGCCCACTAGAATGGCGTGATTCGTAGAGAATCGGGAGCAGCCTGAGTTAAGGTTGATTGAAGTTAAATCCTACTAGAGGTCCCGCGATAGTCGAAATTCGACTATAATTAATTGAAATTGTAAGTTTGTACACTATTATGATTGTATTTTATACTTCTATAATCATAAATTTCGCCAAGGCTACACTATAAAAAAATATGAATAAAGACAAACAATATTTAATCTATTCTCAATTTGACCACAGACGTCAAGAACAATAGTTTGACAATAAATAGTATGCATGCGTGTGTGCGTCAAATACATGGTATGTAGTGTGTGTAATGTTTTCTTTATTTAATTAATGTATCTTTTATACATTGTTAAAAAAAAATATTAGCATTGTGCACTTCTTCCCTATATTCTCTATAAGTGTGCAAAATTTCATACTCCTCCGTCCGCGCAATTTTCGTAAAAAGGGATACAAAGTTTTTGCTTCACGTATTAATATATTATTAGAGGCGACCTTCTCTTAAGTCAAAGTCGATGGGCGGAGCCATTGATGACGAGCACTCACGTGGACTCGTGACGTCATCTGGAGGGGCAACCGACCGACCAGCGGGGACATCACGCCACCTCGGATCACTTTGGCTAGCAGCGCGTGCAGCGTTCACTTGTCTTAGATTTAATATTCTGTGTAGATCGTTCCTACCCACTTTTGTATTTTTTTTATTTATTTAAATTATTAAGCCGTTGCTAAAATCAGAAGTGGGATAGGGCTTGTGCCCTATCCGCTTTTGGGTTATCCTGGCGTACAGTTTGTTTTTAAAATTTGCATTAAATTAACAACGTAATGACCGATATACGTGTAACTGGAAGCAGGGTAGGAGAGACCAATTAGGAATAATATTGGCGCGTTTAATTGCTTAAAACTCAAATGTGAACGTTGCGCGTGAGTCGAGCCCGCTAGGGTCGCAGATAGAAGACGCACGTCCCTCGACCGCGGACGGTGGTGGCGCCGGACCCGTGGTGGCGTTGGGAATCACATCACCGCCGCCGTCGGAGTCCCGCGCGTACGACGCTACAGACAGGATCATCGGAGTATTAAGTGCACTGTCCAAAGTAAGGTCGAACAATTTTTATATTTCTAATTTTGATCCCAGCGTTAATGATATCGATTCTTGGTGCGAAGTACATTTTTTGTCGGATACCCTCTTATCAAATGTAATAAATCACTAAGTAACTAGCTCAACGACTTTATCACAACCGAGCTTACGGTCTATTTTTATTGACGCGATAGAACATGCTCGAGACTGAATGCTCAGTTTCGATGGGTGGAAATAACATTCGGAGGGTTCAAAATGTTACTAGTCGGCAACACACTCCATCAATACGTCAATTAGACAACAGTCCGACTGTCCAGGTCGGTGATCATGTAAACGGGACGCCGTCTTGTTCCATCGCCGTGTCGATTGTACCCGCGTTTGAGAATAGATGTAAAATAGTTCCACCACGCGTTGTGACAATAAAGAGGCAACTACCACATCAGCACGGATGTTAACCGAATCCATTAGATTCGTAAATTCAGATCGAACTCATGGTTACCTTATTTCTAAGTTTTACCCTGCCGTGCAATACATAGACACATTGTGTAAGGAAGTAGAACGGGCTAGATCCTTAACTGGGAAGGCACCGAGTATTTGTCACGAGTTTTGGGCTGTCTTAAGAGTGATGAGCGTACTTGGTTACACGTGTGATTGTCTACTGACCGGACGTGGGGTAACTAACTTCGTAAAAGACTTTAAGCCGTTGTGTCCGCGAAAGTTAGACTATGCCAATATTCTTTATAATGCTATGCAATTAGCATCAGATTGCTATGCCTCATACGTCGAGTGCGCCAGGAGATAGTTGCTCTGTATTAAGATGGTCAGAGGTCTGACTGACAAACTCGGAACTTTAATAATGATACGGGGCATAATGGGCCCTCTGGTTGACTCGCGAACGCTAGTCTACAGATTCACGAGTTGATTTAATTTTTGGTGGAGGTCAGGTTAGGCCGAGTCCTCGTAGGGTTCAGGCACTAGTTGAGTCACCAGTGACGCGTAATGTCAAACATTCTTGGGGTTGACTGCATGCTTCCAGAGATTTACGTGGTAACATAGTTCACGTAGATGTTGTACCGTGGTAACATAGTTCACGCAGAGATTTACGTGGTAACATAGTTCACGTAGATGTTGTACCGTGGTAACATAGTTCACGCAGAGATTTACGTGGTAACATAGTTCACGTAGATGTTGTACCGTGGTAACATAGTTCACGCAGAGATTTACGTGGTAACATAGTTCACGTAGATGTTGTAACGTGGTAACATAGTTCACGTATATGTTGTGACGTGGTAACAAAGTTCACGTAAAGGTGTGACGTGGTAACGCAGTTCACGTTACGAGTGTATTGGCTTGACATGTTAACTTGGCCATGTCAACCAGACTACTCTCACAGTATATTATACACCCGATATGGTAACAGTGCCATGTCGTCAGTACATCTAACGTAACTCAACAAGAGCCTACTATACATGAACACACTGAAATGTGATGTAAAATGCTCACAAAAACTACTAACTTTTACTAATGGTTCATGGTACAAAAATCATGATGGTAATGCAAATAATCTATTTCTATGACGATATCATAGAACACCCCGATAGAAACGCTGTGCACACAGTGAGTCCTGCATCGTCAGAGATTGAAGACGGTCATGACATCGAGGTGAACGTGGACGTCCACCAGTCAGGAGAGGCCGTATTAGAGGCGACCTTCTCTTAAGTCAAAGTCGATGGGCGGAGCCATTGATGACGAGCACTCACGTGGACTCGTGACGTCATCTGGAGGGGCAACCGACCGACCAGCGGGGACATCACGCCACCTCGGATCACTTTGGCTAGCAGCGCGTGCAGCGTTCACTTGTCTTAGATTTAATATTCTGTGTAGATCGTTCCTACCCACTTTTGTATTTTTTTTATTTATTTAAATTATTAAGCCGTTGCTAAAAATATAGATAACTATAAAAACTATATTTCATTTTCGAAAAGCATTACTAGGTGCTGCTAATATCATAAAATTTTAGTAATTGAATCGTGCTGTGTGACGATTGGTGCAGCACTAAATAATTGGACTGACCGTTTTTTTTATTTATTATTCAAACGAATTAAAAGGTTCGTAGAATTCGATTTTTTTTTTATTTGAGAGGAATTAAACTATAATTTAAACGCGAAAAGTTTACGAATTCACGTTGTCCGAACGAAAGTGAATATTGTTGAGTTGCCGCGTTAAGGTTGTTGTTGATGTGATAGTAACCAAACTAGTCAATTTTTGTTGTTGTTTATGTTGTAA